TTAATCTGTTAAGTAGATCTTGCTTACAAAATGCCAACTGGAGATGGAAAAGATTACGTTATCGAGTTATGAAAAAATTTAATGGCGCAAAGGTTGAATTGCCGTAATATGTAAATAATATATATTACACATGAAATACTGAATATCGTCAGCTAAAAGTTTATTGATTATTTTTCGAAATTACTGCTGCTATTCGAATTTCGGAATATTCTTGCGTATAATCTATACTTGAAAATGGTATATAGAAACCTGTTTTATATTTGATTTAGGTATCAGTTTTAATGTTTTGGGAACGTAGCGAAATTTTATTTCGCTAATAACAATATTTCATATTGAAATCTATAAAATGGTGTATGAAACAAAAGAAAAATTTTAACATTTATTAGGAAAATTCCATAGTCGAGTATATCTTTGGCAGATGCAATAACCCTTTGAGAGGAAAATATCAGGTCAAACTACACGGAGCGGAAATCCATAGAACCTGCTTTATTTGTTCTTTACATAACTACCTGTTTGAAAAAATGTAGACTGGTCAAGGACGGAGAAATAGTAGGCCTACTGCTAGGTATGAAAGAAGTATGGAGGACAGAATCTATTAATTAAGTGTAAAGTTAATACTGTTATGAAAAATAGATTTAATTTAGGCAACCGTGCTATTACAGCTGTGTAATCATAACGCCGTAGTCAAGTTGAATATAATAATAATAATCTGCTACTCATAAATTTTTTCGGCCGATTTTAATTGAACAGTGTACTTATTTTATGCCTTATTGTTTCTCTGATCTGATACTATAGTTTGCAATTTGTCATTGTCATAAAAGAATGACTAACAAAAGTAATTTGTTATATGGATGTGAGATTTATTATTACTATTACTATTGAAACTGTTTTAAATTCAATAACTCATTTTGACAAAATTAATTTGTCTTGGAGAGATTTACAAAATTCGTCTATTAGCAGAGTAATAGCGTCTGTATTTGAAACCGGTATTTTCCTTGAAACGTTTGGACTCTGTCGGCTTGAGAAATTTAAAAGTTTTTAGATAAAAATTGTTTCTCCACTAGTATCAGATGTCAAAAGTCATAAAAGAAATTCGAGGAATTTCATGCAATTAAAGTTATTGGGAAGTAGAAATTATTCCAGTGTAGATGTAAAGGTGATAAATGAGATGTTAAAATGTGAAGTTAATGATGTTCTTGCATGGATGACCGATTCAAAAGTAAGCGTGAATGTGCGTGCCGGATGATTTCTGAGACGCTGAGTGTGGAAGTAAATCTGCAGAAGAAAAGAATGGATAATAAAAGTTTGAATGAATCAAAAAATTTATATATATATATATACATACACACACATTTGTAGTGTTTAAATTATTTTTCTTTATTTAAAGTTTCTCTCTGAAGAATTATTCGGACATTTTCTAATTTAAAAATTTTTACTACTCGTGGAAAATTGGGCATACACATAGAACTTGATATGTATTATGCTAATTTTTTTAACTTTTTATATACATGAAAAATACTGAGAATTGAATTAAATTTCTGACTCTTTTTACTCGAATTTAAATTTTGAAAAGTCCCTAAAAATATTGTCAAATTTTTTATAATATGAGCGGCAACAAAACGATGAGTTTTGAATTTATAACAATACAAAATTAATAAAAATTATTCTTGTGCTAATAATAATAATAATAATATGCATTATATACATATAAGACAAGACACAAGTGATATGTCAGAATGGAATGTTGGGAGATTAATAGTCGACGGGATTTATCATCACATATATTGTAGTATAGTATGTAAAATCTTATTTTATGCATCCATGGCTTTCGTACTTTATTTCGTAAAAATTTTTATACCTTTTTTTTAAAATTTATTCAAATTGAAATCATTATCACTACTTAAATTGAAAAATAATCATCACTCGAGAATTAAAATGGCAATTTTAGTATTTGTAATATACTAAAAATTATATGTTCCTAGTATTGCGTAAAAGAAACAGTTTTTGGTGGGTTTTAAGCTGATAAAATATTAAAACAAAAATATTTACTATACAGTATACTCACTAGTCATTGATAATGTTCTAATTTATAAACGAGTTTAATACTCCAGTAATAAATCTATTATATAGTATATACATATATTCTTTTTGCATTTAAGAATGTCCATTTTTATTCAACTTTTTTTTTCATTGTAATGAAACAGAGTAAAAAACCGAAAAGATTGTGTTCAGATAAGAAGAGAAAGTTTCAATAAATGTTATAAATAAAAAATTTTTCTTAAACTTTTCTAAATGCGAAACAAAAATTATACTTGATTATAGGGCAGAAAGATTAATAATTGTAATTCTCTGCTAAGCAATGTTATAATTGTGATGATTATAATTTTATTTGAATAACTAACAAATTTGTATCTGGCAATATGATAGGAAAGCGAAATATTAAATCGATCGGTTGTTGATCGTTAAAAATTAATTCATTCGTGATTATGTATATCGAAGAGTTTTTTAAAATGCTTTAATTTTTACCGAACAAAAAAAATTCATTTGTAATTGTTTTGTTATTTCGTTCTCGTCTATATTAAGTTACTACATCACGGGAAATATGTATAGTTAATATTTAGGGAAAAGGCAGTAATGCTAGTTTAGGAATAACTTCTATTATGATATTTATCATCAAGAAATTGAATTTTTTACAATTACAGGAAATGAAATCAGATAAAATAATAACCTTGTTGTTTTTCCATAAATAACTTTGGTCGTAGAGGGAAACATTATAAAGATAATGTCTTGTACAGTACATATTATCATTTTGTGTCATGGCAAACAATTTTATTGTTTGTAAACTCAGGTTTTCCCCAGCTGTCGAGTGTGTTTGGTCTTAATTACAATTCCAAAATGGTTCCTTACTGATTATTGACGTCTGGTATATTTTAATGCTTGTCCCATTAGCGTTTTGTTTACTAAACACCTATCGAAACGTAGCTTATTTTCCATTTGCGTGCATTATGCATGTTCTGAGAACTGATTATATTTTCTATTACCAGACACAGTTTTTTTTCTCTTTCTCCTACTGTAATTGAGACAGAAGGAAGTAGATAATTATACAATGTAATGTTAAACTGTCCATTATCTGTTGAGCCAGTATCAATCCTGCTCTAATAGCGTGGGACACTAACATATATTGAAATTCTGTTCAATACATCAACATTAAATTCCAAACGACCTGTGTAATATACTGATAATGCTCGGTACACCAGTGCTAAATTTGGAATAAATCCTGTTAGGATCTAATGACCTCTTCTCATCAATAAACGCTTTTGTCCAAGTTTTAAATGAAATCTTTCAATTAGGAACGAACTTGAAATTTTGAAACAATGTTAAGCAAATGAAAGTTTTGATAAAGACCTCTTATTGGCAGTATCTTAATAAAATTTTTCGAGAATTAAATTTTCATCTTGATCTTGCTGGAATATAAATGATCGAATTAAATGCTAACTGGGATTAATTTATTATAAGCGTGATAATTGCGCTCTGTCAAATGTACTGATGGAAGGAGAAAAATTTTTAAATTTAATATAATCTATCGCTTGAAATATTTTTGTTTTTTGATGAAGGACGAACTAAATAACTTTTAAGAATCTTTACATTCTTATTCAGATATATTTTATTTAAACTTGGAGAAGAATTATTTCGACTAGATCATTTTATTTACTAAAATCCAACCCTGATTTTGTCTGTTTGGATGGCAGACAATAAGATATTCCTCTCCTTAGAATTAACTTTATTCTAAACTTTTAGAATAAAGTTAATTCAAAAAATTTCGGAATTTTCTTTGATAAAGAAAATTAAAGTTAACATGATTTCATATGATGTATATAGTACTATATATATATAGGCTACCTATATAGTTTATTTATTAATACAGGATAAATATTAATAAAATTATTATGAAATTTTGATTTTCACAATAGTTTATCATTTAAAAAATCGGTTTTTCAACAGATTTTTGATGTCCACGAGATTATATTTGTATTCGTATAGACGAACTTTCTGGATAATTAGAGTAGTGTATTCTTGGCTAGTCACTCTTTATTTAGCGATTGTTCTCCTGTAAGGTTATATAAATAGATGAGAAAAACCATTTAAGAAGTCGAATTCTTCCATTGAAAGTTATTAATCCATTACGGTAGTATTTCGGCTGGATTAATAACGTTTAGCGCGAATTAGGATTTACAACGATCTAAATTCAATTAAAAATTGCAAACTTTATATACTACTTACATATTCACACACACACATACACACACACACACGTGTGTGTGTGTNGTGTGTTTAACTTTAAATAATAAGTATTTAAAATGTTTCAAATTTTATTTTTTAATCCTAGCCAATACCTTAAGCATAATTTTCACATTCAGATTAAAAAAATTTTACAAAATCTTTCATTAAATACTGAATATTAATGTGTATGTGTAATATATATATAATACTGTTGAAATTAAAATGAAATACGAGTTCTGCTCAGTTGAACAAAAACGATGACGTAGTCATTAAGTGGCGTATATAAAGTGACCTTGAGAGCCAGACGGTGGTTTATAGAACAGGAAAAAGTTTAGTCATGACCAAATAACAAAGATGTTTTACATCAACAAACCCAGCAACAATGGATAATATGCTGTATATATATAAAAAGCCTATTGGAGGAAAGTCCAATAAAGATTAGGTGATAAATAACAAGGAATAAAATAAATCGGGACAGAGGTTTGTTTATCTTTTTGAAATAATAATGTATAGATCAGATGAGAAAATATTGATTAATCTAAAATGCTAAGGTTTATAAGAATGTCAGGCTTTCCTTTTTAGAGAAGAGCGAGCAATCGATAACGAATATCAAAAATGAAGGGTGTTTTGGAAAGGAAAATGGATATTCAACAGTAAAGATATAGTGAAAGTTGGAATTAGGTAATATCGATATAGAGTACGTTTGAATATTAGATTTAAAATATTTAATAAAATTGAGTAGTGAATTTTTATAGCTTTGACTTCGTAGAGATTAAAGAATAACTTAACCTGACTTGAAATATCGAATAAAAAATAACGTAATATATTTTTATACAACTAAGTATGAAAATGTTGGAAAAGGAACCATAAAATGGCAATTCAGTTGCATGGAAAGTATTTAAGATGTTAGTGTCGTTGCAAATATCTATCAAATTGTTAACTTTTCCTGATTGGAGACGAATCAAGAAACAGTTTATCCTTTATCCAGACAGGCTGACTACTTAACCGGTCTTACTTGTCTGTCGAGTCCAGTAAAAATGTTAGTCGAATACATTTCTTTCTAGGAATCGATTTTTAACCGTCATTACATTCTATAATCAGTCTGGCTTGCAGTATCCAATATTAGAGATTAGTGTGATTGCACCGACTTCCCAATTTGCGAGAGAAACACAATGCAGGTTTTACTAGATTGTGATTTGTATTCTTGCCTGGGGCAGACGTCACAACGACCGACTAACCGTGGAATCGATTCGATTGTCTGGGTTTCAGTAGTTCATGTGCCAGACGTATCGAGCTGTGGACAGCTGGTCTGCTGTTGTCTCCCCAGACTCGGTTTGACGACTTGATGCTTGCAGAGAGGGGGCCATATAGGAACAAAGCCTGCTTGTCTTTATTACTGCGAATTCATAGTAATAAAAATAATAATAAAAAATACTGTATGGTTTCTTTTCTTATCGATTTTTGTCTGTGATTTCTCCAATGGGGATTTTTCATTTTGGTAAGCTTTAAACAAATTTAACAATTTTAATCCAGTGAAATTAAAAGCTGGAATTTTTATCTAACCTTATTTAAAAATTAACATTAACAATTGGTTAGTGAAGTAATTCAGTTTTAAACGAAAACTTCGTCATTATTATTTTAATTGATTGTGAAAATGCATTTTATTTCTTACTTTTTCTATAAAGATTTTTTGTGGGATTTTGTGATTTCGTTTTTGTATAATAATAATAATTTTCTCGAGAAAACTTTTCTGAATTTCCATTAAAAAATACTATCAACCGATTCATTTTACTTATCAGGAAGATAATGAATAATATATTAAAAATTAATTTGGAATTTTTATCCGAGAAAACATCTTGAATTTAAATTCTTAATATAAATTATACGAAAATATTTTATGATTTAAACTTCGTTTTCAGAAAGGAGTTTTTATATCTGTGAAGTTTGAATTGATATCACATAAAATTTAATGGTGCAGCATTTATAAGAAAAATTCCTGCGGTCATGAACTTTAAACTAGGTTTCAAACTTTATGAAAAAAAAATCAATTATGTTAATTTAATAAGAATGTGTTACTAATCTTTGTGTTTTAATTGATGGCTGAGACAATTAAGGCATCAGCATACCTCTGAGAGACTCAGGATTGAATCCAGAAACTTTTCAGGGGCAATCTGTCCCAGATATGTTGAACCCTATCCTTCATACCTAGCCATTTGTTGGCCTGGCTGTTCCCATGATTGGCATGATAAAAAAGGCTTAGTGTTCAAAAGGTAGAGAGTAAAAAGAATAAAATCAGTTTCATTAATTTATTTCTTTGTTTATAAAACAATATAACTAAATTTAATGTCTCTTAAAATAGGTTTACTTTTTCATTAAAAAATAAATTTAATATTAAAGAAATATTTACATAAAATGTCTGTTTTGTTTTTGTTTGTTTGACATCTAGTTAAAAATCCAAACAAAATCTCACTACACAGTGTGTTTAACTTTAAATAATAAGTATTTAAAATGTTTCAAATTTTATTTTTTAATCCTAGCCAATACCTTAAGCATAATTTTCACATTCAGATTAAAAAAATTTTACAAAATCTTTCATTAAATACTGAATATTAATGTGTATGTGTATAGCTATATATCCAAATTGATTCTGCCATTTACTTAACTGCTAATTCTTTACAGAAAATATGCTCAGAATAAGTGACAAACATACATTACTTATAGATGTTTTCAAAAATATTGATTAATAGTAAATAATATTGTTTCTGTGATTAATTTTTAAAATTTCATTTAAGATTTATCCAATTTTATATTGAATTATTACAGATATTATGAAATTGGTTTATTCTTTTTTATAAGCTAATTAAAGAAATCTATATAATTTTCTTTTTATTTGGATGATAATTATTTTGGAAACTGGTCAAAAATCAAGAGATTTGATGGACTAGAGCTAATGAAACTATACACCAAATACATTATATAGTCTAAAAGAACTTTTACTAAATATAGGAAGACAACAGAATATAAAATTTAAGAACAGATATGCCAAAAAATGAATGCATAAAAAGAAAAACATTTAAATTGTTCTAATTCTTAAAGTGTACTTGTATAACTTTTGCTTTGATGCCAATTAGGAAACATCTGTTGCTCCTTGTTAGATTGATATAACTGAAATTAGAAATCTATATCTGAAGTTCCTATAAAATCCAATATGACGACATACATTGTTTATAAAATATCTAAGTATAATAATTTTTTTTAAGTGTAATTACATGAATAAAGATATTTTATTTGATTCATTGCCTTAACACCTGGAAAATTTCAAAACTTTGTTTTAGTGTTGTCAAAATATATTGATAAAACATTTGTTGGAAGTAATTTGAAGCATTTGTTTGTCAAATTATTAACCTGTTATTTTATAATAATTTTCATAGCTAATTTTAAAAACTAATCATTTCATTTGTAAGTGTAATAATTATAATAAAATAAGATTTTTCAATTTAAAAACAAGAAATTAAAAATAGATTGATGTTCTTGAAGTTTATTATTATTATTTAATAGAAAGAGTAATTTTCATTTGTAAGTATCATTTATTTTACTATTGAAAAATTTCTCACAATATGGTTAGATTATACTTACTACTTAGATTATTGCAAATGTATTCACATATTTTTTGTTTGAAGTTATATTTGACCTTAGAGTTAATATTTAAAAAATATCTGGGATCATAAAAAGAAAAAAAAACACATTTCTCTTGAAAAGTAGTTTATGAAATTGTAAAGTAATTCAATGTTTTCCTATTTTTTGACTTATATCACTTTTATATATGTGCCAGTGATTATAAAATTAAATGAATAAAAGTTGATACAAGATCAAAATGCAGTTTAACAAAAATTTTACTCTACTTATGTTGTCTTAATATTCCTGCAACTTTGCAGACACATGAATCTATTATACATTAACATATTTAATTCACAAAATAAAAATTTTAAACAACAGTACTAAATATATACTTGAACCATCCCAGAGAAATATTCCTAAGTATCAATAAAATTGAAACAAATTAGGTTATAACATTAGTAAAATTATAATATTGTATTTTTGTTATACAAATACAGAAATCATTTAAACTTGTTTTTAAAATATTTAGCTTAATATATACTTTTTCATTTATTTGAAATAGTCCAATATTTATTTCAAATGCACATGATTCAGAATTAAGTTTTGTTAAAACCATAAATCTGCTGCAATATAAAAATTTAAAAAAATGCAAAGTTTTGACATTTTGCATTTTTGACAGCATTGTTTAATTAATTAAAAAATGTAATTTATGGTAAAGCAAAAATTACTCTCATATATTATCAATTCATTAAATTTATTGTGTTCTTAATTTTAATGTTAATTTTTACTTATAGCTGCATATTAAGAAAACTTAAAATTTATATCTGCAAGTAGAATTAAAAAGATATCTTGATAGATAAAAATCATTAAAAAGAAAAATATTTTCTAAGTATTTTGATTTTAAAGTTTCAAGATTTAAACACATTCATAAGTGGCAATAATTTCAATAAAAATTTATATTTAATTTTCTCTAATTGTGTAAATAAAATTTTTCAATTTTCATTTTTTATGTATATAAATGTGTTTCATAGCATTTATAAGTATTTTTCATACATTTAATGTGTTGATTCAACCTTTACATTTAAAAAAGCTGCTGTTATCTAAACAATGCTATATTATTTTTAATGGAGAAATAGACACTTTATTGATAGTGTTTAGCTGCATGAAAATTTGTGGTGAAATAGTTTCAAAATTTTATAATTTACATTTTTAAAGGATTCTTTATTTATAAATTAAATTGTTTAATTATTGATTTATAGCTCATATTTTTAGTTTTTCTAGCCTTAATAATTGAACATACATAATTTAATTTAATTCATTTTCAGAATGTTTCATTTATGCATGCTTCAAATTTTTGTAACTCAAAATCTAAAACAATTTATCTTCTTCTTGATTTCAATCTACAATACATACTGATTTTTCCACATTTAAAATTTTGAAGTTTTATAAATTTATTTGTAACTCTTATGATTTTTATTTCAGTGTCTACAGTACAGATAATAATAATTGTGATAGCCATAATTTTAACATTAGGGCTAATCACATGTATCATTAGTCATTACAAAATGGGTGCAAGATCATGGAGTGAGAGAAGAAGCAGACCGCCAACTCAACCTCCATCAACTGGACTGCATAGACAACATTGTTTACAATCTAATCATCAACAGCAACAGCATAGTCATGTCATTACTGTACCATCTTCTGTAAGTAAATTTTTTGCATGATTTTTTTTTCTGATGTCATATTTGAGAATCAGTATCAAAATCAAAATATATTTAGTTTCATCTGTTATTCTAGAATATTTTTGGTCATTTCTAATTATTCTCAATTTTTTTTTGTTCTACATTTTAAATCTATTTAAATTCTATATTGAAAATAAATTTTTAATAAAAAGCTAAAAATTAGCAATATTGCCACATATAATCACTTATTTTGGTAACCACTAAAAGGGGTTTGTAGACAAATAAACAAATTTGTTATTTGTCTACAAACCCCTTTTTAGTGGTTACCAAAATAAGTGATTATATGTGGCAATATTGCTAATTTTTAGCTTTTTATTAAAAATTTTTGTCTACAAACCTCTTTTTAGTGGTTACCAAAATAAATGTATTTTCCTTAAGAAACGTCAAAAGCTACTAAAGTTTACTCTTTTCATAATTTGGTAGTCAAGACTAAATATATTACAAGGTATAGAAATGTGTCTAATTTAGTCTTTTAAGTAGTAATAAACATTTCAGACATTGGATATAGAAATAATTAATTAGAAAGTTTAAGAACAAAAAATGGGTGCAACAATTGCATTATCATAATTTAAAATTATTTTGATAAAATTTATCACAATGCAGTTCTAGAGCCACTTACATCAAAAGCTATGCTATACAAGTAAAGAATACATTAATTTCAACTTTTGCCTAATGTAATCTATAATTGTTCAAATTTTACAAACAGAAATTTGTTTTGCTTTAAGTTTTACTTTATATCACTGGAATGTCTAATATTATCTATTTTAAGAGAAAATTCAAAGTATAAAATATTTGGAACATTTTTTTTCCTTTTCAAATTAAAACATTACATTACATTACATAGCTGATCTAACTGAAATTTCTTTTTCACTTTATAGATGTATACACCTGCAAGTGTGCAGAAACGTCAACAATTAGAAATAGCAGCTCAACGTGATCGTCAAATCCGCCTTCAGTCAGTAGAAGTGGATTTGGCTCTTGATTTACCTTCTTCTGTAGCATTACCTGACGGAGAAGAACATCCTTATAGTAGCATGAAAAGTCTTCATCGCCGCGATCCAGAGCAAGAAAGTGAAATCTGTCGTGGGTGCATCAGGCCACCTCCAAATCGGACAGTATTAGATGGCGATACACTGCCTCCCTACAGGTCTAGTTCTGTGGGCCTCTTACATAAACCCAATACATCACCTTGTTTGATGAGGACCTTGGACGGTACTCCACTAGTCATGCGTTCACACAGCATGAGTGCTAGCTCTTCCCACAGTGGTCAATTGAGACAGTATACTCCACATCTACAGTTACCCTCTTTGGTAATCAGCCACAATAGCTCAGCAAATAGCAGGTTATGTGACTGCACAAGGGCACCAGCAAGTGAATTCAATCAATTGGATCCACCTCCATGTTATAGTGATGTAGTAGGCAATCGTGACTTGGACAGCATATTAAATAGGCCACCAGATAGTGGTGTTTGACCATAAACTCAGTTAAGTCTTTCACTTTTCCCTGGATTGATTGTGATAGCTTTGTCATCAATACCAGGGTACAGTAAAAGAGTGAATCTCACTCTGAATGTGGTTACTGGGGCAGGCGGCTATCCAGTGGCAGGAGCCCTGGTGGCATTAGGTAGCCCATGTTCACGGTGCCTCAGATTTTGTTGTGAATATTTTTGTTTACATATCATTATGAGTTTGTTTGCCAATGTTTTTTACTGTTATCAAATGTTTGGCTGCACGTGTTTTTAAGGAAACACGTGTACACTATCAATAGACTTCTCCCTTCAAGGTGAGAATGCTGAACTGTAATTTCATCTGTCGTACCCTATTCCCCTTCCTCACTGTTCCCACTTGCTCCCAGTAAGACAACCATGGTGTCACAGACACCTTTCTTTGTGATAAAAAAAAAAAGTTAGCATTGTGGACAGGGGTGTTTGGGTGTGTGCTTGTGATCATTTCTGTATGTAACTTGCTACTGCCTGAGTGGATGCTATAAAATTGTTTCCCTCACTGCCCAGTTAACTGGGGGTGAATGTGTGTAGTAGTGAGGTATACAAAAAGTCATTGCCCTGAATTGGATTAGACAGGGTATGGTGCTATATCTGTTCCAGACAAAAAAGGAAAATCTGATTGTTAGGGGTATTGGTAAAATTAGATATAAAACAGTTTGCTTAAGGGGTTTGTCCCATTTATGGTTAAGGCATGGATTCATTGGACGTTGCTGGGTTTCATATTTAAGCTTTTATATTGTCTATGAATGTATATGTGGAACTGAATGGAAATTGTGTAAGCATATGTAAATGCCAATACTTGTATATACAAATATGTAGATATTACATTCTAAAATCAAATTTATGTAAGAAAATTAATTTAATTTCAACATGTACATAATTTCAAATTGCAATATTTTCTTTTCCGTATTAGAAAAAAATATTTAATTGTGAATGTTTCGAAACCCAGCTGTCGCTTCCATGTCATGCTTCAGCCATTGTGCAAATGGGATCCGTAAAGAATCTGGATTGGCCAAGTATTAAATGTTTTTCCTTAGCCGGTTATCTCCTGTAGAAATTATAATTTTGTAGATCCGACAATCATACAATGATAGAAATCAAAGCAGATGGGTTTAAACTAAAATTGAAAATTTGATATGTCATAGTTTTTTGTATCCAGCTCACCCATTCCCAATTTGTTATTTAGCGGCAGTCACAATACGAGGAAACGTCCATGTGTGAAAGAAAAGAATTGCATCGCCGACTAAACAAATCCTGGGTATTCGAAGACAATGGTTTTAGCACAATGTGAAAACAAAGTATTTGACTGCCATTGAACTATTAATGAAACTGACTTTTCAAATGATTATAGTCAATTTTTATTACAATACAGATGAAATATTGGAACATTAATATGTATATAAGGTAATTAATAAATTTATGTATTTAAATGTACTGAATTTTCATAAAAAATTATTAAAAAAGTTTATAAACGGCAGAGTTCTTGACCTCAAGGACTCCCTTCTACTATCAGTGTGTTGGAGAGAAAAATTTGTTCATAAGATTTTTGCCCCTCATTAGGAGACGAGCATCCTTTTGATGCCAAAACCAATACCCCTTTGTGATGTATAAACACAGTTTGGATACAGCACATTAAAAAAATCTCCCTAGCTCAAAAATTGTTGCTTCAGGCTTTAATTGCTGGATTTTGTAGAACAGATATTTACTCTACTGTCATCTCTGTATTGTCAGGCTGACACGTGCATTATAAATTTTGTATCAATCAAAACAATATAATCTGGCCATCTCGGGTTCCATTACCTCCAGTCCTGTGGACCAAGAGGTCAACCTATGAGGCGTGCCAAAACATGCACATTCTTCCAGTGTACATAACTGCTATCATCTGGTGTCAGTGCTATAGTCTGACTATAGCTGCCTCTTCTGTAGCCAATTGCCTGATGCAATGTATGGCCTTCAGGCATAGTACAGGCTTCACACTCTGCCTGCATTTGGTCTGTGATCTGCTTGACGACGGTCCTCCAACTTGTATATATGATGCTCCATAGGAGGACGTCTTATCCCAACGAACGTCAAGGACCCGGGAACCTTCTCGGAACCTTTCCGTTCTTCTTATATATATAAATATAATATATATAAAATTATATATAGATAATTTCTGTTTTCCAGACGATAGTCCAGTAGTTTGTACTTTGTTTCTCAGAAATACTCTAATATAATATGTGATATGTATTTTGTTGACGTGAACCAGAGGAGCTTAAAAGTATTTGATTACTAGGTACTCATCCTGTGCTAATTGTCGAGTTAAGTTTCCAGAATGTATGGCAGTACAATCTATTTCATTCCTTATTATCAGACTATTTATTCCGGTTAATAGCCTAAGGGCAAATTTTTCTGTAGGCAGAGTGTGAGCATCTGTAGTTAGATAGGACCTGTCCTATCCATACATGCTAAATAAAAATCTTGACATTTTATAATATGTTGTATGTTCATTGTCATCATTTTTCTTTTGTACATATATCACCAAATTCACTGAGAAATTTAAAATATTGTTTTCTTCTTTTCCATTCAAAAATTTTCACAGAGTTAAATATCTTAAATATCAATATTTTTTTTTCTAAAACATTTATTACAATGCCACATCTATGGTATATAAAAATATTTTATTAAATTTTAAGTTCCATATTTTTTTTGCCAAAGTGGAGGAGGTAAATTATTCATTATTTGGAGTGGTGTAATTGTGACTGCAACTAATTCTTCTCCTATCAGTGAATTCAGCAATAACATGTGCTGCAAAAAAATTTTAGTTAGAACTTGAAATGCTTTATATATATTTACATATTTAAAAAATTCACCTTGTGTCGTTTAATTATGGTAAGAGAAGCTTCTTTTGTTTCTTTTTCTTTGTTGCAGTGACGCTTAGATGTCTCTTTCATTGACTGAATTTGATAAAAGTCATTTAAGATTTATTTAAAAGAAAAAAAAATTATGTTAAAATTGTATTACCTCTGTTTTATTTATGACATATATTTGACTGTCATCATAAAGTAATATCAAGTTCTCATTATTTGGCACAAACAACACTCCAGTTATTGAAGAATGTGAGTCAACTCCTTGCATTTCCAGCAAATGGTATCTTTTTGAAAGTCTTGTATATTCCATTGCTTCCAATGAGTATTCTATAAACTGAATATGAAACACACATTTACAAAACAAAATTCACAAAAGATATTTTTCTAAATTCTCACCTTTTGATCACTGTAAACTACAACCAAATTATTACTGTGATGATGAAATGATAATGCTGTTGCTTGACATTTGTGATGAGGAAGTACACTGTGAATCTGTGTGAAAATATAAAATTTGGATTATTTGTAATCATTTCTTACTTTTTATAATTTTAAAGTTCAATTAGTAAATGTGATAAAATGTTTCAAGAAAATTTCTATTTACTTATTTTAGCATAAGTTAAATATCTATTCTGTACAAATACACATGAACTAAAAGAACTAATTCAGATACAAAAAAGTTGCTTTATATATATATATATAAAGCAACTTTTTACAAATTAAGTTGCAAAAAATGTTAAGACATTTTTTATTACAGAAAATTCATTGTAATGTTTTTTGAGTATCCATTTCAGATAACAAACACAATAATCTTGAAAGTCTATAGTAAAACAAACAAAAAATAATTCAGAATTCTTTAGCAACTCAGAATTTCCCCCAAAAACAATCTACCTATTCTATTATTCAAAAGACTAAGATTTTTTATTTAAAATTATGGAATACAAAACAAAAATAATATTTTATTGCTTTACCTTTGTTCTTAAACAAGAAGAAATGTCATTTTCTGATTCATTGAAACAAATATCTTGAATTTAATTATCATACAACAGATAACTTTAAAGTTTCTAAAAATTCTGATTTAATAAGAAAACAACAAACAATTCAAAAATTATTTTATTAAATTAACAGCACTTCAAAAGAAGCTTGTAAAGTGAACCTCAAGAATCAACGTTTCAAATATTTAAACTATCCCATAGAAGTTTTGGTCACAGTCATAATAATTTTTAAAGTTTATATATTTTACTATTAATGCAATTTAAATATTGGATACTGTTGTGTGCAATTTAAATGAGTATTTGAATATTTTTATTATATCTGATGAATTTGAAATAACTAGCAAATTTCTTTCTACATTTTTAAAAACAATTTTTGATATGAAAACATATGAAACTACTTTGAAAGTTTCAATTTTTAGACATTTGTAGATAATTTACACATTATCTTGTTTAACATTGTCAATAATACAAAATTAGATATGATTTAAATGGTGCCTGCCATCATTTAAACTCATATTATAGCAGATCCTCTAGGTCAGATTCATTTTGGCAAGTTTTACAGTAAGAATTTAACCATGTATTCATTGTGACACTTTTCTTCTGGCTCCACCAAATGTATAAAGTGAATTAGTTACATTCACTGTTGATATGATCATAGCTAAAATTGTACAGTACATTACATTATGCCAACTGAACTAGAGTGATTCAGTCAGCTTTATCAATGACTCCTTAGAAATCAATTCTTATTTAGTGACAGTTTATCAATTCTCTCTGCACAAAACATGCTGATTTATTTCAGCTTTAAAGAAAATAGTTGTTTTAGGAGAGAATCAATTTTATATTATTCACAGTCTTATGTGTGAGACAAATAAACAAAACACAGTTGCTGGTGTTCTGTGTGTATAAGTCTTAAACTAAAACAGTAGCTACTAGATATAATGCAATATTACAGAATTCAAATGGTTATTATAGGAATTATACATTAAAAACAAGGAAAACTTATTAACAAAGTTCTAAAACTTTATCCATATTGAAAATATGGAGTGTAGTAATGCACACATGTATCATTTATCTCCTTTATCAACAACCTTTTTTGAATGAGTAAAATTATATTATTAATGGTTAACAATTAAAACAATAATAATCAATGCTGCTGGATGATAGTCAAAATTTTATTTTATGTTTTAAAATCGTCGATATAAGAAAATTTAGCATAAATATATTAGCCAATAAAGTACAAAACAGGACTAAAACTTCAGAAAGATACACAAGATAATTCATATACCCCAAACCCAAATTTATTATTATGAAACAAAACACTAATCCAGCAGTTTCCTTTGTTTTTACTTGCATACCCTTTAGCATCCCATTTTCCTAAGTTTTATTTTTGTGTGTTCATCAAACAGTGGCACCTTGGCCAATTACACATAAATATAATAAAAATTAAAGATTTTTTTATCTGTGTCCTTTCTCAAGATATTTTTAATCAAATTGTTTTAAATAAAAAAATCTAAGCATTGAATGCCATAACATTGCCAAAGGCCTCAATGCAGAATCCAAATATTCTTATAGTATATTCTCCATTATTAGTTTTTTTTCACTTACCCCCAGTTGGAAATTAATTAACTCCAACAAATGGATTAGAGCATCATGGTTCTTTACAGTGTTTTGTTTCATTTAATTAATTACACTCCAGTCTAGAGAAATCTTGGAAAGTTAAATGAATGATTGGAAATCAATGAGATTTTCATGAAGCATACCTCCATTTATGATGAACACATTAAATGCTGGAACTGACTGATAGAGACAGAGTTGTGCCTCTCCTGCCACTTTCTTCTTTAGAGAAAAACTGAATGCAGCTGAATGTGTATGAATTTTCACAGAATTTGTTGAACAACTTGGTGATGCAGAATTGACACATGGTTACTTCCAGCAAGCTGGATCAACTTGTCATACATTACAGGAGTCAATGTAATCCAGAGTTTTTTTTTTGAAGAACATGTCATATCCAAGAATCTGTGGTTGCCACAGTCACCCATTCTTACCAGTCTTCTTTTTGTGGGACTCTTAAAGAAAGAGTGTACTTTAACAAACCCCACATGACTAATATCTTAGAAGATGATAATATTATCAATGTTTTAGATCTCACTCCTAATGTAACATTGAGATGCATTATCAACATACAGCAACATGTTAACATGTGACAGACAGAAGGTATCAGCCACTTCTAATACTTACTATGATGTGATATGTTCAACATAAAGGAGGTATGCTTCCTGAAAATCTCATTAATTTCCATTCATTCAACTTTCCAAGATTTCGCTAGACTGGAGTGTATATGTATGAAACAAAACACACTAATGAACCATAATTAACTCTAGTAAATACAGTCGACCCCCCTATAATTACAATTGTTATAAAACTACGAAAAAATATACGTATTTTGGAAATGTTGAGTCGAATTAGTGTAGAATCGATTAATTTTATGGAAGAAAACCTTTCAATCAGCCGTAGTCCGTAAACTTGACACATGTCGGGCTGTGATTGGAACGACTTGTAAGAAATCGGATTCCTAATAAATTGGAACGTATCTATATCTTATAGGGGGGGTCGACTGTAGATTAGTGTGTTTTGTTTCATTTGTTTAAGATTTATATGAATCACCCTGTACAATTAACTTTTGGTGTGCAATATCTACATTTTCTTCTAATCAATAAATAGTAAGTAGGTATTTATTAATATATACAATGCAATAATATAGTTTCCAAATATTCCCAGTATTAATTTGAAAGAAAAACTAACTAATGCAATATTATAATACAAAATCTATAGTAACATTAAATTGTCCAACTCACAATTTATTTATTTATCACCAGTCTTTACTCACTATTGGTTACATAAAATCATTTAATTACTCTTAAAAGAAATTCAGTTTAATGTAATGATTTCTGAGGATATTCATTTTGGAATATCCTCAGAAATCATTACATTTAAATAACTAAAACTCTCTAATCTCAAAATGATTTGAGATTAGAGAGTTTTAGTTATGAAATGTTTATGCTAAAAAGTGAATACACTTATCCATAGTAAAGTCAAAACTAAATAAAAAAAACTTTGAATGTTTACATATTCATAATTACAGCTGTTGCTAGACAACATTAAAAAATATTCTAGACACGTAAGTACTTGTTCAACATGCAGTAGATGACTATATTTGGATGGATTAAAATACAACACATGAAAGTATGGAATATATAGGCTTATGCCATCGGAATTCTGAAATGATGCATCATTAGCAAATCAACATTAAATTCTGCATAAAACTTGGAAAAAGTTTACTAAAACATTTAATCTAACATATGTTTCTTTAATTAAGAAATGACATCATGTTGTATACACAAATGTACATAAAAGTAAGCATTTTAAAGAGGGACATCAATTAATAGATGATCGTCCCTATCCAGAAAGAGAACATTAGCAAGAAACAAGAAATCAAAAGTGATCGTAGAAAATTGATAAATGATTTGGTTGACATTTTCAGAGTTTCACATGGCTCTTTCAAGCCATTGTGAAAAATGGCATGTACAGTACAATGTGTCACATCTATTCTCATTGTTCTAAGTTAACAGATAAGCAATATGAAGAACATGAACTCAACAGAAAACATATCAACCCAGATGTGTTAAAAAAAGCAATTACTGGTAATGAAACCTGGTATTTCTTGTATGATCTGCATAACAAAAGTGCTCCATCAATACAAAATTCAGCCACTTCATCAAGGCAGAAAAAATTTTATCTCAATCTAACAGAAAGATAATGCTTGTGGCTTTTTATGTGAAAGACTCAATGCATTATGAGTTTGTTAACGGGTTAACATTAAATATTAAATATAAATATTATAAAGTCTCTGTAAATCCGCACTAAAAATATATAAATTTTAGGCTTAGCGGTAGACCAATTAACATTAGTAAACAAAGACTTCTATTTTGATATTCTTGGTTAGCTGTATAATGCCTGAGGTGAAAATGCCTCATCTCTGAAAACTTTCGACACCTACCATATAGGTATCTGGTGTTTTTCCAGAAATTCACTAATTGAGAGTGAGTGATGTGATGATGTGCTATGATAGAGATCCAAAAGCTGGGATCTCTATCATAGCACCTCATCACATCACTCACTCCCAATTAGTGAATTTCTGGAAAAACACCAGATACCTATATGGTAGGTGTTGAAAGTTTCCAGCCCAACTATCCATTAATTTGCATAAGCTGCTTGGAAACATTCATTTTAGTTAACTTGTTGCACTAATTTACATCATGTTCAACACACTTGCAGGACAATGCACCAGTACACACAGCTGCCATTGCCAAGGCTGCAATAAAGGAGTGTGGGTTTGACCATCCACCCTACAGCCCAGTCCTAGCTCCTAGTAATTATCATCTGTTTCCAAAACTCAAAAAAGACCTTTGAAAAAGCGATGAAGAGTTGCAGGAGGCAGTT